TGGTAACCAGTTGAATGTATTGCAAGCTATCTTAGTTTACTTATAACTGCTCTCTGCCAGAATACTTTCGTGCATCTGGAAGTTAAGCATCGGGACCAATATAAAAACTGTGAAGAGGCTGTGCTACTTCATTTAATCTATGCCTAATTCATACTCGCTAGCCTAAATCCGAGACAAGCCGGTTCAATGGCTTTCGCGTCCTTGGCCGTTTCAAAGGCGAAGGGTTACTAACAGAGTATCTAACGGTTTAAAATAGTTAATTAAACTCACATTCTTTGAAATAGTATTTGAACCCGATAAAATAGTTTATAAAACTTTCATTAATATGACATTCTCCACTTAAAATATCACGCACGGCAAGAAATTTCGAATTGCATGAAGTATTGCACTGTTATTTATACACCGTTACAATAGTCAGTATAAAGTCACGGCAGTTAAATGCAGGCTAGGCGGCTAGCTTTGCATTGCAACCACTGCTCAGGTACTGACTGCAGACAGCTCTTTCGGAACCAGTTATTCACCACCTCACCCCCCCTTCTTCTTTTTCTTCATTCATTTTACACTTTTTTCCTTTATAATACACACATCTTACAACAATGTCTCTCATTCGCTTTAGATTACAAATTTATCTAAAGCGAAATTTATCTTTTATTTACACTCCACCAAAAAAAGTCAATGATTTGGAATCGGTACCTTATTTGGAAGCAATGTTTTAATCGTTGAAACTTTCAGCCCGTATGAGCGTATAAATAGAGAACGAAGGCCAAAAGAAAAAAAAACACACTCTAAACCCAATTGTCAGATGGCAAGAAAAAGATTTTCCAAGTTTTAATTAAATCGGTTCGGTAGTTTGGAATAAATTTTTTTGTTCGTTGCAGATTTTAACCGGTGATACAAAATTTAACCCGTACGACCGTATAAGTGAAGAACGAAGGCTAAATCGTAAGAAAATGATACCCCAAGACTCGTCGTCAGGTCCTAAAGAATATACGTGCAAATTTTCAGCGAGCTGCGTTTATCATATTGGGAGATATTTCTTGGTCGCTAGGCATGAATAAAATCTCTGGAGACCGGCCGCGAGTCCGGCCGCTTTTTCGTCCCAGAGGACGATATGGCACAAATATTATTTACGTTATTTCTGAACGAAGCAAATACCAATCTATTATAAACCCTTAAAAATCATAACATTTTCTCTACAAAAAACTAATTTAATATTTTCCATATCATTAAACAAATCGATGGAAAAACAATTGAACGTACAATCGAACCCGTTCAAGATTACGAAATGTTCGTTAAAAACTCGTATTGAACGTACAATCGAACCCGTTCAAGATTACGAAATGTTCGTTAAAAACTCGTTCAAAGCTACCCTCTTGTATAGTCACGTACAAAAATTACGCACTGGTCTTAAAACTAAAAACTAAGCCCAACTAAACAAATATTTAACAAACTACACTAAAAAATTTTCGATAAAATTAGAAGAACCCTTTGAATGAGCATAAATTCTCATTAAGGGATAGTTTCTTTAGGAGAGAGCCGGCAAGTTGTCATACATATATAAAGGCTGCAGTTGGGAGCGGCGTCATTGCAGCCGAGCCTCTTCTGACGAAGTAACGTAGTAGTGTCTTTGCTGTGTCCTACTTCTAACATCAGTCTATCTATCAGTCAACTGTAAGTACTAATTACCTTGTCAGACAACCATACCATACCTATATACTAAGTAAATTCGCATTACATTTTGTCTCGAGTCGTTCGAACTGTGTGAAATCGATGAAGCAGCAGTCCGTTCTCAGTGAATATTATTAGGGAACAGTTCGATTTTCTCGTCTACAAATGGGCATTTTTATAGCACCTGACCATCATGGTCATACCAGTGCAATAATATAGAAATAACTGCATGTCACGTTCAGGAAATGCGATGTGTTGACTAATAATTGGCAGCGTAGTGCCGAGTCCTGAAAATACTTAGTCGGAAGCAACCGGTTCATTGCTCTTGAATTGCTAAGCATGTTCGATCTGAATAAGACTTGAGCGTAATCGCAAGCTTCATTATTTCTTACTAATATCACTCTATGTAACTCTTTAATTAAGACTTAATGATGTAACAATGGCTTTGCGAACTACGGTAGGTATCTGATCTGCTGAAATAGGCTTGACATTCACGACTCCATCCAAACGTCAAAATTTGTGCACTGCTTTCCTTCCATAATGTCGACCCTTGATTATGTCGAGAGAAATTGACATGGCACTATGCATATCGCACGACTATTATTTAACAATGAGTTCAGAAAATTTCAATGACAAATGATGAGTAATGCTAAATTTATAAACGTGCATCCTGCTGCGTTTTCATCTACATCTATGAATGTGCTCTATTTCACATTCATAGCGCCAGATCAGTCGCGAAGCCGGCAGCCCCTTTAGACGCACAGCCGGCTTTCCTCCTAGTTCGCGTTGCCGACAGACAGCTCCATGTAGTCGCTCAGCCGACATTTCCTTGTAATTTCGCAGCCGACAGCAACTTGTGGTCGCGCAGCCGGGCTTCCTCGTAGACGCATCTCCATAGTATATTATTATAATGATGTAACAATGGCTTTGCGAACTAGGTATCTGATCTGCTGAAATAGGCTTGACATGCACGACTCCATACAAACGTCAAAATTTGTGCACTGCTTTCCTTCATGATGTCGAGAGAAATTGAGATGGCACTATGCATATCGCACGATTATTTTTTACCCATCAGTTCCGAAATTTCCCTATAAAGTTCAATTTTGCGACAATTATTAAAGAAACAAATGTGTTATGTAAATTAGGGTTAAGTTGTAAATGTGATCTGAAAAGCGTGTCATGGCTTTTTTTCCAATAGATGAACACTGTTCAAACCAAAGTGGAGAAGGAACTTTGGAAAGACGCCGCATCATATGTAATCAATAAAGGAAAATATGTAAGCATACCACAGCTGCAACTAGAAGAGAAAGAGGAATGTTGCTGTGAAATCGTGGACCAGAGGGTTTTGTATGGGCTCATTATGTCCATAAAGAAACCAAAGGACTCTGCGAAGAAAATTCAGTATCAACGGCAGGGGAAGATGATGTCTTCGTACAGCCGCATTGTACTACTGAGGTAAATGAGCATAAGAATTCTCCTTTTCTGAGAATGTGACTTCAATTTATGGGCATAAATTTTATTGCTTTCTTTTTCTTCTATTTAGGAGATGAATTTTTTGAAATGTTTAAGTCGTCTTGGACAATTAGTCTTTGATTACCATACTTGATTTGCAGAATATTAAACAACAAACCTAATTCATCCTTATTCACAATGCAGGGAACTGCAAACGGGGCAAGGATTTTATATAATCGCCCCCTCTCCCGAAGACGCTTTTCACATGTTCCGTTTCCCAAATGTAGCGTTCATCGGCGCCTGGGTAGCGATCTATGAGCCCAAATCCAGCGGCACAATACATAAATCGCCCATCATAACTACCAAAACGTCACTCGTGCCAATCGATGTCTCGCCTGACACTACCAACATAAGGCTCAGTACTGTGCTGGACGCAGTGACTCCCGCCGAGCCGGTCAAAACCTTCCTGATGGAGGTGCGCGCGGAAGACGTGCTGCTCAATGGCGTCGGTTTACCAACGGCATGCACAGCAATCATGTGCGATTCTCTCCACAAAACCACGACCGACAACAGGTGCCCTGCAATCTCCGGAGGCCGCAGCAGCAGACGCTGCTTAGTGTGCAGCGTGTCAATAAGGGGTTATCCAGTGTCTCAATGCGAGTACAGCAGCAAGAAGTTGGCACAATTGCTCATCTCGAAGGCTGTATTGCAGGTAAATAAGATATGTGAGCAGCAATATGTAAGAAACGATGCCTAACTACACTCAAAACGATTGTAACGATTTCAAAAGGAAGGGTTACATTAATATTTGAGCTGCATAATGTAGGACACGATGCCTTTCTACACTAAAAACGATTATAATGATTGGCAGAGTTCCGACTATGCACTCATGTTTCAAATAAGATAACGTTTAATTAATGAGTTGCATGTAATATTGACTTGAAATGTCTTCCAGGCCGAAGAGGTTGATATCGACGAACTAAGAGAAAAGGTTCGGGCGCTGTGGGGTACACTGGCAAACAATAATGTGAGTATCATTTGCGGTGGGTGGTATAAGCTTTCGGTTGTTCCTTCGGATGTGCCAGGGGATGCACCCAGCCACCACAGGAATATTCACCTCACTCTTCTTCGCCCCAAAACGTTCCCACCAGCGCTTGGGTTGATATCACTAAAAGAGAACCAAGATTCCCTGCGTCGCACGGAGCCTCCGAAAGCCACATTAAGCTCGGACATATTCCAAAGAAATATGCCGAGTTTCATGACAGCAACCAATGTCGAGGAGCTTCCAATTCCAAGCGATGATGAAGCGCGACCAGGAGCCAGCGGCTCACACCCACCAAAGAAAGCCCGAAGAGATGCCGCAAAACGAAGCATTCTGTTAGCTGAGTTCAAGGGACGTCGTAACGAAAACGTGGACTATGTGGGTGAAAGCGATAACAACTCGCATGAAGATCCAGAGACAAGCGGCGACGAGGGTGCAGAACGGGATTTGCCTGGGTTATAATTATCATGCCTTGATTTAATTGATTCCATAACCATACCTTTGTCTAGTTATTTTTGCGCGTTCAACTCACATACGTATTATTGCTTGTTATTTACCAACCTTATGATATTTTGGGGACCTTTTTTCAATGCCAATTTATTTGGTGCTATCATCCTCAACTATCTCGCCAATGATTTGCTTTCATGAAATTTGATACTTAATTCTGGAATACATAAACGTTTTGAATTAGCAACGAGGATATATGATTTGATTATTGATTCTGCAATACTTAAACGGTTTAAACTAAAATATCAAACGATAAAAATTCAAAGGAAATAAAGTAAGAGTTCGTGCATAGTCGTACTTTACTTAACCTTCTTTATACATTTATATACTTGGCTTCGTCTCATAAGTATTTCCGAGATTAACAATATGTTCACGCTATTCGAGAAATTCGTGAAGCAGCGAAAGCATTCTTATCCTACAGAGTATCAATAAAATTAAAAATTGCTACATAAAGTTACACTATTCTGTCCAAGAGCAGGCCTCAAGCAATGGTTCAAGATAATTCGGTTAATCGCACAAAAAGAATGTCTCCATTTATAGAAAGAGACTTGGTTGTTTGTGTTAATGCTGCTGCTACGGTTCGTGCGGTCCCTGTTCTTCTTTCCTCATCAATGCCGCGACGGATCCAGCTATGCCCACAGCCAAGGTAACCCTGAAATAGCGTTAGCTTTTAATGATGAGCACAGTAACGTGACGAAGAATAAATTCAGTTCCATATAAATGACACAGTAATGACTTATGATGTCACAGTAGCTGAATTCTGAAATAAACTCCGCAACTTGTTGGCATATTTCATCTGATCAGAAATGAAAATTTAAGCAAGCGAAATTTTAGTTTAGTGTGTCATTCGAGTTCAGAGGTCGAAAGCTGAAATAGAGCAAGCTTTTGCTGTAACAGCAGCTGGTTGGAACGCGGTGAATATAGCCTAAAGGTATTAAGTACTCACAGAAAGTCGCGAATCTTCTCCCGCAAGCTTCCATGCCTCCAACGTAGAAAATATTTCCTGAGCAGACCGCGGGTGTTCGGCAGACGATGCGAGAGGGCCCATTATGGCGCAAATACTTCGAAATCTGCAAACAAAAAGGGTCTTGCTTAAGTGTGCCAGAAGTAAATTGAATCGAAAAGATGGTTTAAAGTTTGAACCCGAAAAAAGATAAGATGAATATGAGGCAAGGTGCATATAACAATTGTAAAACCTTAGGATATAAATGCATTGATTCAAGCTAGCACTGAATATACATGTACGCCGCCGAATGGAACGCAATAAATAAAACTGAGATTGTGATTATTAAAACAGGAATAGCAATAATATGAAATAATGACTTACTTCGATTACATTCAAATATCATTGACGGCGAGCAACTTCTGACACAGCCTCGTGACGCAGCGTGACCACTAGGCGAGAGGCCGGCATCGTAGCAACGACGTCGCACAGGATCCTCTCACGCACGACAGGCTTTCAGACCACGGCCAAGCAAGCCTCACGCCATCTTCGGTTCGGCAGACGATGGGAGAGGGCCCATTATGGCGCAAATAACTCGAAATCTGCAAATGAAAAGGGTCTTGCTTAAGTGTGCCAGAAATAAATTGAATCGAAAATATGGTTCAAAGTTTGAAGCCGCAAAAAGATAAGGTGAAGATGAGACAAGGTGCAAATAACAATTGTAAACCTCAACATATAAATACATATGATTCAAGTTAGCACTGAATATAGCTGTACGCAGCCGAATGGAACGCAATAAATAAAACTGAGATCGTGATTATTGAAACAGGAATAGCAATAATATGAAATGATGACGTACCTCGATTAGATTTAAGTATCATTGACGGCGAGCAACTTCTGACACGGCCTCGTGACGCAGCGTATCCACTAGGCGAGAGGACGGCAGCGTAGCAACGAGGTGGCATAAGATACTCCCACGACAGGCTTTCAGACCACGGCCAAGAAAACCTCCAAATTGGAGTTGTCCACGGTCTCCACGGCCAAGTTGGGGTGACACTTTGGAAATGAAAACTTAAACTCTCAACAAATAAATAAACAGAAAGACACCAATTACGATTATTTGAGAAATAACTCACAGCAAACTGCACGCGTGTGCAGCAAGAGCTTCATAAACGATCAAACAAAAAAAAAAGAAACAGGGTGAACCTATAAAAATTACATAAATGATAGGAAACAAAAATGTTATTCTACAGTGTTAAAAACGAATTAAAGTATTTATAAAACTATAAAAGAGTACCTGATGTTCAAAATATAGGAATCAGAGTTCAAGTAAAGACTCATGACACGCCATAACTAAGGTGAAAAAAATCGCAGCGCAGCAGTGACGATAATGAACACGCACCTGCACAGGTAGATGAGACTGTGACGATAGTTGAGCAAATAATATGTCACGATTGATATCATTTGGTGAAACTCAATTCAGGTGAAATAAAAAATAACAAACTATAACAACACACCACGATAGCTAAACAGGACTAAATATTGAAGAGTACTATGGTTGTCTGAATGTGGTATCGAATAAGATCGTACATGAAAACTCTACCGTAAATTTTACGTTCGCAAATCGTTCAACGAACCCTTCACCAAAAAGTGAACAAAAACATGAAAAGGCGAGTCCTGTCAATAAAGAATTACTACGTCACATTATAAGAAAACGGCCATCTTAATTTCATGCACATGTTCTTCAAGTTAAAAAACAGGGGAAACGACTGGCTTAAAAAGTGATGCTGATGCTGTGCGACCACGAGGCCAGTGAAAAAAGCAGCTGTTAGATTAAATAAGCACTTACTGCGAGCTACGCTCATAAGATCTTCTGACGACAAGCCTGCAGACAACGGCGAATGAAACCTCACGCATCCTTCGTTGAATTTCAGACCGGGTGTTCGTCCGAGAATTCGAGAAACGCCAACAACTCCACACATGAAAAGATTATCTTGTTGAAATGTTTGGGTATTGAATTCAGTTTCAACAGACTATAGCCGATATAAAATAACCAAGGAACCTATGAACATCAAGAAATCTTAAAACGAAAGTTAGAAACGCTTATCCTAAACAACAATGATAGATGTAGTAATTGCAATAAAAAGAAATACTCACTGCTTAGAGGAATTGGAATTGAATAAAAAAGGAATTGGACAAAAAATATGTACCAAAACTTACATCGTAAAATATAGGAATGGAACTGACGGTAAGCACCACGACAGGTCTTAAGTGAGCAGCAAGCAATGCACAGCAACGACAGTGCCCGCACCTGTACAACAAACCGAATTTTTACGATGCTTGAGATACAAATATATGAAGAGAATAAAGATAGAGAGACCCTGAAACAGCGTGGGCATGCATTGAAGAAAGAGGAAGTTTCAGTAATAATATCTAAGAAGNCTCACTGCTTAAAGTACACGATACACCATCCTACAAAATGGGAGAATAATAATGACCAAGACTTACTTCGTAAAATAAAGGAATGGGAGCTGACGCTAGGTACCACGACACCTCAAAACTCAGCAGCAAAAAATGCGCAGCAACGATGGTGACAGCAATGTCCGCACCTGGAGAAAAAGATAAAAATTTGGCAAATCTGAAGCTGCAGATATGTGGCAAGAAGATACCTCGGCAAAGAAGTAATCACTTTGGTTTTGAAAATATTGCATATCCGACACATAATTAATCATTGCAAATTAAACAGAAAACATGGAATAGGAGCGTGAGACGCATAAAACGATAAAAAATCATAATGGAATGTACTTACTCTTTGAAATCATGATGAAGTACTCAGACGCCAAGACTTCCACTAAAGTGAAGAAGTCTGCTCCCCGAAGGACAGGCATTCTTGAAATTTCAACGAAACTTCAGTGAGTTTTTTTTTTCCCGAAAGACTGCACGCCCAACTTCGAGTGCTTCACGAGACGTTGATTGCAAACCTTGGCGGGCTCTCCACGATTCGACAAAATCAAGCTTGGCAGTGTTGTCACGGTTTTACTAAAAATATATATATATATATTATGAAGTAGTTTCGTAATGCTGGGAAGTAGAAGAGCCGGCTGATTTTCACGTTCCCAAAAAACGGTCAACCGATCTGCACGTAGCTCAAGTTCGGAGCTTCCGACCCATACACGAATCAGCTCTAAGTTATATCCGCCTGTCGCCGACGCCCGCCCGCGGCACGACGGTCTGATGTTCTGCCCAGTGTTGCCAGGTTTTTTTTCTGCGAGAATGCCAGATTGCCTAGCTCAAAACACCAGAAAAATACCATAAATTCTATTTTTCAACAGCAGACTATTACCTCAAAATTTAGTGAAATTATTCGTCAGAAACGTTGGTAACAAAGGCGAAAAATTCTTTCTTATGTACTGTGCATTTATCGGGCTTGACGATAATTAGCCAAATTGAGCACGTTTTATTTTTTCTCTCTGTTTAGAGGGAAAGACAGGACGTCTCGGACAAATTTACTGCCGGACCCGCGGCCGGTCTCGCGGCCGCCGGACTCCAAACATAGAAAAAACTTAGCCATTCAACGAAAACCTCGCAGGTTAGGTCCAGTTAGGAACAAGTTCCATTAAAAACTGAAAAAACCTAGAAAAACCCATAAAAACACCAAGAAAACCTTCCGGCCGCGAGACCGGCCGCGAGACCGGCCGCGGGTCCGGCCGTGAACTTGTCCGAGACCTCGTGCAGTCTTACACAGTATCGCACTTCTTCCGCTTCGCTCAACATAAGCAAGCCACGGGGAAACAGGTCATCCTCCTTTTGCTTATTTTCGTACATGCTTGCATAATGCATTTATCTAACATTCTGTTTCATAACTTGTGGATGAGCAGATAGCTTTTGGTCCGAATAACGGACTCCAGTACCTTAGTTGAAATTTTATTTCGTTGCTTTTTTCACATATAGGCGACTTGCGAAAACACTTGCACCACGAAATGACGAATGCATTAGAGACAGGTCAAAGTAGACAAGTGATACAGTAGGCAGCCAGTTCCATGNGAATACGCTTGGTACAGCATTCTATAAATTCCCTGCGCTTTCGCCCGCGCAGCAGCCAGGAACACATCACGTCGCAAGCTGTTGAATGCATTCGCCATGTCAACCTTGAAAAACACTCTCCGGTCCGAGGCACGCCCGAGGTACGCACGGGCTGCATGAGCCGCAGCCTCGCACCCACCCCTGGTGGAGAACCCCAATTGGACCGGCTGAAGTGCTTCTCCTATTAACGGAGACAATGGCCATGCTCCAACCTTGGTAGAACGAAGAAACGTTGGTAACAAAGGCGAAAAATTCTTTCTTATGTACTGTGCATTTATCGGGCTTGACGATAATTAGCCAAATTGAACACGTTTTATTTTTTCCCTCTGTGTAGAGGGAAAGACAGGGCAGTCGTACACTGTATCGCACTTCTTCCGCTTCGCTCAACATGAGCAAGCCACGGGGAAACAGGTCATCTTCCTTCTGCTTATTTTCGTACATGCTTGCATAATGAATTTATCTAACATTCCGTTTGATCACTTGTTGTGGCTGAGCAGATAGCTTTTGGTCCGAATAACGGACTCCAGTACCTTAGTTGAAATTTTATTTCGTTGCTTTTTTCACATATAGGCGACTTGCGAAAACACTTGCACCACGAAATGACGAATGCATTAGAGACAGGTCAAAGTAGACAAGTGATACAGTAGGCAGCCAGTTCCATGAATGGATGATGATTTTCAAGATCAGTGAAATATTGAATGGCGCCCCATAATTCAAGTGGCACTCTTGACTCTAGAATTCAAAACCACCAAACAAAAATGGTGGAGCTTGCGTGGCAGAGCGTTCGACAACCTCACTCGTCCTAGGCCATATCATCACTGATCAGTAATCAATCAAGGATCATTACTCTCGTGCGTATATTGTACTAAGCACGTTTGTTAAATGTTAACAATTAGATTGGGGTTATTTCATCAAGCGGTAAACTTCGGGTCCAAAAATGGCGAGAAAGCTCCAGTTGCGCCGTTCTGAAGGTAATCTATATAATCCACACCTACGCTGGAGGAAGTTCAAACTTCAGAGGTGGAACTTAATGCAGTAAATTTGCAGTAAGCCAAAAAATACCAGATTTAGGCAAATATACCACATCTAAAATATTCATACCAGACACATTCTGAAAATACCAGATTTGTGAAATTTGGTATGGAAATATACCATCTGGCAACGCTGACTTCTGCAGGTCTGCGTGTTCCGCAGTTTCCAACTTTTCATTCACATAATTCAGAGTAAAACTAAAACATTTCGACGGCCGGTGCCGGATAGTTTAGGTACTTGCCTTGTTCGGTTTTGGTTCTTCAAAATTTTCAACTATTTATACATCGTATTGAAAGATATCGTTAATATTGTTTTGAAATAGAGTACTGTTTTTTTAAACGATATTTCTTCCTGCCATGGCAACATACGGTATTCACGTACAGTCAATAACAAAGTTGTATTTACAAGTGTCTGCTGGAATACTTCGAAGTGATGTCTTCCCAAATTACGTTGGTAAGATCGTAACTCAAAATAAAGTCTAATACAAATCTGAAGTTCAAATATGTAATCTGAATTGCAATTTTTATTTTTAAGGGTGAAGTTTCATCAAAGATTGCTTTATTTATTTGCTTCTACTTGTTTTTTTTATCAATACTGACTACCGAGTTATACCAACCGACTTGTGTTCTCACTGTTTTGTAGGTACCGTATATCAAAATTCAAAATAGGCTAGCACGCTAGCTACCTAGGTATTAGCCTATATACCGGTACCTATAATCTTTCATTCTTTGTAATGGTATTGTTTAGTGCCTGTTGATGGCCATTGGCCAAGATTGTGAATGTAAAACTTTGTAATCTAATTTAAGTAATTTTGCAGCTCAATCAAGCAGTTTTATTAAAATAAGAATGGCAGCCTATTGAACTTGGTAGCTCCAATGAAAGTGGTGCAGGTGCTGGTGGAATTGTGATTTGTGAGAACTGGGATAGGCCTAGCTGGTTTAGAAGGTAGATATTTCTATACCTGCTATTTAAATATTTATTTGGTAGGTACATAGTGACAAACCACAGAATTTTTAGAATCAGTTCATTTTTAATTTCCTCATTTACTCATGATTTAAACCAGTTTCATATGTAGGATAATGCAGCCTGCAGGTATCCAGGATACTTTACTGGTCTACATATAGGACTCAAAAATGAACTTGAGGGAGAGTCTAAAAAACTCTCTGCTTTGCCACTATGGGTAGGTAATACTTTAGAGTTTAGAATTTAGATTGAGTGCATTCAAAAAAGGGGTGTTTTTTTAATTATATGTTTTTTGTGGTGTAGATAAAGAATCTAAAATCTGTTTTTGGCGGTCAGCATCAGAAAACCAATTTTTTTCCCCAAGGCTCTAATTTGTAAAAAAAATCAGGCAAAAATCAGCAAAATGGGCAAAAAAACCTAACCAACCTAACTGTGGTTGGAATGTTGTGGTTGCCTGCAATGTTGTGGTTGCCTGCAATGTTGTGGTTGTCTGCAATGTTATTTATTATAGATGTATGTGTCACCCCTTACCCGCAATAATTATGATGCATGTACATCTGTGCCATTCATCATGCTGACAGTGTGGAATTCTAGAGGGATAATAAATTAACCAGTACACATAGCATATTGGAAAGCAGGACCTGAAAGCTTGGAAAGGCCAGGAACTTTACACTTTCAGTCAATTATTTACATATGCTATCCATTTCCAGAATTCCATTTGTGATTGGTTTGTTATTTTAGCCACTTTCAGCTTTGATTGGATAATGGAATTGTAATATTATCTGCTTTCTAGCTGTGATTGGTTGATGGAAATGCTTTCAAGCTGTGATTGGCTGATGGGGATGCTTTCAAGCTGTGATTGGTTGTGCTTATAAGCCCCGCCCCCAAGTATGGTATATGTACTACAGTACTGGTTAACTAAATACTTAACTGAAACTTGATCATCGCAAACACTAGATATCCAAATAATTCTATTACAAACCTAATGTACTCCAGGACTCCTAGTATCCTACTCCAAACCTAATGTATTTATAGTCAGTCTCCTGGCAGGCTGGCAGAGCACTGTATCCAAGGAAAGCTTTTCACCTTGGGTGGAAAGCTTTTTTATAAGTGAACTTCCATTCTTAGAATTCCAGCCTGATCATGCATCAACCAACATAGGCTACATCATTAGTATAGCCACCTGAACCCTGCATTGAATGATTAGAGAATTTGGAGCATATACCCAAT